GGCAGCCCTGGGGTGGGGGTGTAGCGCTGGCTCCTCACTTTGCTGAGGAGAAAAAGCGAATTTTTTGGGGGTGAAGCGGATGCGGCGCGCACCCCAGGGCCCGCTGGTGTCCCCAGGGCCGCACTGGGGGAGGTTTTGTCTCTGGCACCAGCTCCACAAAGCGCTTTTTTTTTTTCCCCTCATCGAAGGGGAAGGTGCCCGAGGGGCACAGAATTTTAAGAGAACTCTCTCGTAACAACTGTTTTCCTCTTGCTTTTTCCCTGTGGCTCGCAGGACTTTGTGGCTCGCAGGACTTTGAGGCACCGGCGCCTTTGAGTGCAGGCAAACCCTCGTTCCCTCACTTCTCCCCTTCCCTGTTTCCGAGGCAATGCCCAAGGTGAAAAGGAGCAGGAAGCCTCCCCCGGATGGCTGGGAGCTGATCGAGCCCACGCTGGATGAGCTGGACCAGAAGATGCGAGAAGGTAAGTGGCAGAGCTGAGTGTTCTGAGCGGTGTGAGCCTGAAACCAGCCAACCCCTGACTGCTTCAGGAAGCCAAACTTCCCCTGCCAGCACAGCCTGGCCTTTCTTACAGCTCTGCCTCCCAGTGGTGCCGTGGAGGGAGGCTGGGCCAGTGCCAGTTTGGCTTTTTCTGGGTTACACTGGCTGCAGAGCAGTTGGAGGGCACACCTGGGCTGAGCCAGGGCTGAAGCTTGTTGGTGTGTGTGCAGGGACTGGTCATTCTTGTCCGTGCTGTCAGACAAGCTGTGAACTCAGCTGCCATCTCAGTGTGGGTCACATCATCCCCACTCCCATTCTGTTTTCATTTCCTTAAGAAGTCAGCTCCAGGCCAGATCCCTTTCAGTTCACTCTTTTCCTGGTCTTATCTCTGTAACATATTGAAGTCCTGAACGTTCTTGGAACAGTTGATGGCAAAGTGACTAAGGAAATAAGTTGGCCACCTGAAACTGGGTGTTTGTGTTCCCTCCCAGCGGAGACGGAGCCTCACGAAGGGAAGAGGAAAGTGGAATCCCTTTGGCCTATCTTCAGAATTCACCACCAGAAAACACGTTACATCTTCGACCTCTTCTACAAGAGAAAAGCTATCAGCAGAGGTGAGGAGTGCACACCCTGGGCTGGGGGGGGGAGAACAGAGTGGGGTAAAATGGCCACAGGAACCAGGTGGGGAAAAGGAGCAGGTTTCTGGGGAGGGGAGGTGGAGGGAGGGCTGGCAGCTGCCTGGCCTTAACAGCTAGCTACTACAGGTAGTGATTCCCAATAGTTAGTCATCTAACCCTTCCTGGGAGCTACTTGTGATGGTGCCTGTTACCTCACAGAGCTCTACGAGTACTGCATCAAGGAAGGCTATGCTGACAAAAACCTGATAGCCAAGTGGAAGAAGCAGGGCTATGAGAACCTCTGCTGCCTGCGCTGCATCCAGACCCGCGACACCAACTTCGGAACCAACTGCATCTGCAGGGTGCCCAAGAGCAAGCTGGAAGTGGTGAGTCCTCAGTGTGCCCTCTGCTTGTCCTGACCCTCACAGCACCCATCTGACCCCCCCTGGGTCAGGGGCAGCAGCCCAGCCAGTGCTGTTCTCCTCTAGTTCTAACACCTCCTCTCTTGGCTGGTAGAGCTGCTATCTAGCTGGTTCTAGTTACTGTTGGCTTTGGCACGAGGTTGTTTAAAGCTGCTAAAGAGAAAACCAGAGGGTGGAAACCTTCCCCATGTAGACCTGCTCCCTGCCTCGAGCCTGAGCCTGCTGGTCTGGCCCAAACAGCCTCGTCCTGTTTCTTTTCCAGGGGAGAATCATTGAGTGCACTCACTGTGGATGCAGAGGCTGTTCCGGGTGAAGCCTTTAGCCCTGAGGCTACTTTTTGAACTCTGAGGGGTCTCATCCTGCACGGGGCCTGTTGGTGCAGTTAAAGCTGCCTCCTGCATGGTCGGGTGTTTCTGCATAGCCATTGAACCAGCAACCTACTCAATCTGGATCATACATACAATGGTGGTGGGTTTGGGGTAGATTTTATGTAGCCATTTATTTTAAAATAAAGTTTGCCCTCCCCAGAGAGTGCTGTGATCATCTGGTAAAACATTTCTCTGTCCCTCTCCTCCTGTGGGATGTGTTTTGGTTGGTTGGTTTGAAGGTTGATCATCAACATCCTGTGAGGTGTTCTCAATGTGAGTGGGTTTTTAATCAGGTCTTATCCCTTTTTTTTCAGCTAGCTGAATTTAAGAGGTTGTGTGGAAAGGAATTAATACAGTTCTCAGACACCCAGGCTGGTTCAAGCTCTCCCATGATCTTGTGGAAGCTAAATTTTGCTGGAACTCTCAGCTGAGGTTTGTAACCTGGAATTAGTGCATAGATCTGTTCAGGAA